TATTTATTTATTATTATTTTTTGTATTGATCCTACGGACCCCCTGCAATTACGCCACAGACCACTAGGGGTCCGCGTACCCCCGGTTGAGAAACACTGACCTAGAACACTGTCTAGCACTTGATGGCTGCTCTGTCAATTCTTCATCATCAGTTAGGAACCTAGGTGTAACGAAGAGTCAGAGGCATGCGGATCCATTTGCAGCTTTATTCGAATCAAAGGCAGAGTGAAACAGGCAGTAATCAGTCAACAGCATCACAAACAGCAGGGATAATCCAGGAGAATAAACAGTAACAGAGCGAGGGTTGGGGCAGGCGGCAGAGAATCATACTAGTAAGAACAGTCCGAGGTAATACACAAGAGATGACAAGACAGGGAATAAACGCTCAGAAATGTAGCCGGGGCAATACATGCCTTTGCAAACACTGAGCGTCTGGGAGCTGCTTAAATAGGGAAGCTAAGGGGAAACACCTGTGCCAGTAATCAATCCCAGTCATGGGGTGTATGGGAAATGTAGTCCATGAACGTTAGTACTCGGGAGAGGGTGCCCTCCGGAGGCCGTCGGAGAGAGCCACAGAGGCCTGATTCGTGACACTAGGTGTGCTATTTGATAGCAATCTTCCCTTTGAAAGCCACGTTTCTAGCATTTGTAAAACTGCATTTTTCCATCTCAAAAAATATATCTAAATTACGACCTATGCTCTCAATGTCAAATGCAGAAATGTTAATTCATGCGTTCATGACCTCAAGGTTAGATTATTGTAACGCTTTATTGGGTGGTTGTTCTGCATGTTTAATAAACAAACTCCAGCTGGTCCAAAATGCAGCAGCTAGAGTTCTTACTAGAACCCGGATATTTGACCATATTAGCCCGGTTCTGTCAACACTGCACTGGCTCCCTATTAAACATCGTATAGATTTTAAAATCTTGCTTATTACTTATAAAGTAATATATATATATCCCTTCAGTTTCTGGAACTCTTTTCATTTAACCCGTTTGCTCTGCATCTCTCCCCTTAGCACTTCTGTCTCAATAAAGAACCCTTCTTACCCGTATATCTCCGTTTTGGTCTCCTTCTGTACTGTGACAGAAGACCAGACCACCCAAGCTCAACATGGAGCCTCAACCACAGAACCCAACTTCACTGGAAGATTTGATTCAAGCCATCTGAGCCCCTGTTGTGTCTGCCTCCCACAGTCCCATGGCCCGGCTCGCTATCTTCTCCGGTGAGGCGGAGGATTGTGGTGGCTTCCTGTTACAATGCTCCCTATACTTTGAGATGCAGTCTCAAGCCTTTCCTAATGACCGCACCAAAGTTGCATTCATGATTTCTCATCTCGCAGGCCGCGCTCTTCACTGGGCCCAGTCTATGTGGGAAGTTAACAGCCAGGCCATCCGCACTCTATCGACATTTACATCCCAAATCAAGGAGGTGTTCGGTCATGCAGCCGTGGAAATCTCTTTTCATGATCAGCTCTTCCGCATCAGTCAAGGCACGGCTTCAGTGAGCGATGTAACGAATCAGCTCATGGGAAATATGAATAATTAACCATAATTAGTTATAGTTAATTATGAATATTTTAGATCCGCTGTAGATATTTAGTTGACCTCTCAGGGTCAACTGTCTTGTCAATTCTAAGAACATTAATTTCCTGGTTAAAGGAAATAACTTTCTTACTGTACAATTCTACAAAGCTTGTAGCGTAAATCTGCATGATTAGTGACTCCGGTTATGAGCAAACAATGAACACGTCAAGTGTGTTACAAGTAAGGTTTTATTAACTACATAAACACTTAAACTAGTCCAACATACTACATAAACACATAAACTAGTCCAACATACTACATAAACACATAAACTGGTCTAACATACACATACACACACACACACACACATACAGTTGGTATAGGAAGGAAAGGGTTAAAGTTTAACTCAGTACAGAAAGAGACATAAAGAATGAATTTTATGGAACCATTTGCATATTCAGCAGATCTAAGCCTGAGGGATACGTCAGATTCTGAGTTCAAACACACCTTGTAAAAAGGTGTAACTGATACTTAATGTATCAATTAATAAGACTAAGTTTGATACTTGCGAGTCTCGGCTGTCTGAAAGAGATTCCTGATGCAATCCTAAGGTTTCCAGTTGATCTTTGCTGAA